AGATGTCTGAATTATGGTTCAGCTGCGGGGTCTGGAAGGGGCTTCCTGTTTTCTGGGGCTGATTAGGTCTATGGCTAATATATCCTCCCTGTGTAAAAGACAGTAAATTGTCCCTTTAATGTATTTAATTCATTTTGAAATTTACTAATTTTTTCCATTTGTACTTCTTGCTACTGTTGCTGACTTTCCTGTAGTTGTTGCTGACTTTCCTGCAACTGTTGGAGACTTCCTTCCTGTTTCTTTTCTCGTTCTTCTTGTTTCTTTTCTTTTTCCTCCAACAACTAGTGTAATCTCTCTTCTTATTTATTTTGCTGTTCGAGCTGCCTCTGTTGTAGGTTTTCTTGCCACTGCTGTTGTCTCTCTTGTTTCTTTTCTTTCTCCTCCAACGTCTGCTGTAGTCTCTCTTCTTGTTTATTTTCTCATTCTTCTTGTTTCTTTTGCTGTTCTTGTATTGCTGCCATCAAATCTGCTAAGTTGTAGTTTGATTTACCACTTCTCATTTCCATCTTCTTTTTTTTCCATCCCACTTCTGACATCAATTTGTTATGTATCTGCTTGTTTGTTAATTTCCGGTAGAAATTCTTTCTGAGGAACTTCAGCGATACAAGTCCTTTCTTGATTAAACCACTTTATTCTTTCTCGATACAAACTTTTAGTACACAGTAATTCCACAGTCAGCACGTTTCTCGTCACTTTAAACTCAACAATACACGCTATAAATCACAGTGATTCAAAATCTCGATACTTCGCTCTCTACGAGTGTAAAACACACATTAGCTCGAAACAGAATCGTAAATTACCCAAAACTCACCATGACTACTGTTCGCTTAACCATCCATCCCCAGCTTTTATCTGCCAGGCTTATATACTAACAAAGAGGCGTCTCTCGATTACACTCAAACTTCCCTGATAATTCGAGGAACTCAGTCACGCATGCTCCGAGCGTCACGTGACTTCCTCTATCGTAGCAATATGTACTGATTAAGATGAACAGTTTTCGGGTCTTATTATTTGGGTGTAAGGTGGACCTTCTGGATGTGATAAAATTTAAACACTGCATATCATTCATCAGTTAGTAAAGTAACACAACAAAATCCATGAAAGACTAAAAGAGAACAAGTCTTACATTAGAAAAATTTCAAATAATGAGAATTAAAATGAAGTGATGTATGTTACAAAATACTCAGTTTTATTATACAGTAAAAGAGGATAGAAGATCTGGTACCGAAAATTTCCTTACAAACCATGTAGCATTTTATAGTGACGACTAGTAATTCGACACAAATTTTCATCTTTCATCATTCGTTGTAGATTTTTCTGAGCCCATGCAGGATCTGTTCTTTTGTACCAATCCTAAAAAACATACAATACCAAATTGCATCAATTTAAAGAAAAAATAATTTTCAATAACTTTGAAACATAGCTAAATAAACGTTTTTACTAAGAACAAATGATGATGTTTCTGACATTATATTTTTTATCTTTACGATGCTAGCTAGCGTACAGTAAAAAATTTTACCATGAAATGCAACTCAAAAGTTACACAAGAGACTAGAACACAGATGTCTAGATGCATATCTTTTCACTTTAACCTGAAACAAACCCTTGTCCAACATAAAGAAATGACATGACTTATTCGTTTTTGCAAAATCAAGTCTTTTAAAAGCATAAGAAGCCAACATGTGTATAAGATCAGCTATTATTGGATCTTGACTCAACACATACACATTTTCTTAATAAATACAAGAGATGGTTATTACTACTTTTTAAAAATTAGGACACATAAGTTATAAATCTGCTTGATTTTTCTTTCTTCACTGTTGTTCTCCACCTTGTCCAACTTTTCAATCATACTTTAGGAGAATTTTTCTACATTTTTTGTGTGTGGAAATCAAACAAGGGGTTCCAATTAGTCACAATACAAGAACAATTTCTGGCAAATTGAAGAATAGAAATGAGTCTTTGAAGATGCAACAGTCATACATAAATCTGTTTGTGCAAGTCCCATTGCTTCAATTTTATCATGACCTCATCTATCACTTTTTTTTATAGAGATAAATAACCATAATAAATTTAACTTTCAAATTCTTGCCCAAACTTCCACAATTAACAAGTATCAGTAAGATGTGGTATTAAAATCTAAAATTTAACCTGATAATCTGAAACACTTGAAAATAATAAAAGTTCAAGTAATAATCTAATAGAACTGGATATACTACTAAGGGTACACAAGTGATTATGCACCATCCTGAGCATAATTTACTTAGAATTAAACTTACTGGTCTTTCTCCAATAGTCAGTATATTTGTTTTCCACTTGTGAGAATCTTTCTGGTATATCAACTGCAAATAGAAGTTGTTGTTTTTTCTTTTATTTTAAATACATTTGAAACTGCTTTAAAATACTCCAACTTTCAAATGTACTACACTAACACTTACAATAAACACACAGGGCTTAGTACATTAATTACATCAATTCACAACCATTATATATATATATATATATAAACATCATCAACTCACTAGTTACATAAACTTATATGTTAATATGCATAAATAATAAAGGCATAAACAGTATTTTATGTTAATTATTTCTTGAATGAGAAATTCAGTACAAGTTATGCATAATTATGTTTTTTAGATAAATTACATGCAGTGTATGTAAGAGAAGAAATATTTGTAAACATTACACTTTAATACAACATGATTTCAACTAACAGCTTCCTTAATGCTTACAATGATTCAAACAAATATATTAACACTTTCATTTAACAAAGATAGCTTGATAAAATTACTTTAAAAAGAATTACTGTTATAGAAAAGGAAGCACAAGATGGTACAGTCACTTTCTTGTCTTCATACCTTTTGGGCAAGCAATACAACATCTTCATATTCCATCTGATGATCTACACTGACATTTTCTAGTTCCATCTTGTCATCTGTGGCCACAAGAGTAGTTTGAAGAAAACTTTAAGATAAAACAATTTATAAATATATTGATTAAAACATAATTTTGTAAGAGCAAAATGTTTACTTCAGAAAAACTTTTTTTTTCAACAAAATAATGTATATAAATGCTAACAATGTGCATATGCTAAATAGATTAAACATAAAAGTTAGATGGTGAGGAATGGAAATTAGTTATAGATGGCTGCTTTAGAGGATTGAAGTGTTTGTTTACAATAGAAATTTTACTTCTCACAAGTCATGAACATCATGCCTTTAAAAAAAATAACAGAAAATTTAAACACCTAAATGGACCAAAATTACTAACTTTTAACAATTTAGATATTGATTAATTAGGTTAAAAATATTCAAACTGTTTCTCAAGTGTCAATCAATTGAATGTGTTATGAAATTCCATTGATTAACCCTAAAGCAAATATTACAAACAAGCTCTAACTATGGTCTTAAAGACATAAATAAATATAACATTTAAGGTCACTCAAGTTAACAGGGGTCAAATCACTACTACTAAAACCTGACCAAGAAAGCATCAAAACAAAATCCATTCACGTTCATATACCTATACATAAAAATATACATGGTTTTAGCCCATTCACATATGTGGCCTCTAATTTTTTTTTGTTCAATGTGGCTGGTACACATATGGATTCTTGCTTTTA